ACTTCTGCTCACACTTAATTGTCTGGGATACAGTCACGTGGTCCCACTTACCTGCAAAGGAGTCTGGGAGATGGAGTCTTGCTGTGTGCCCAGAGAGAAGAATAACCATATTTGGTGAACAGGTGGACAGTCTCTTCCATCTCTGGAAAGGTGAAATGACGTCCCGGGAGACCCAGCAGGTTAGTAGCAGAACCCCGGCTCCTGAGCGTGCACTGAGGCCCCTCGCTTCTCTCTCTACACGTCACATTAGAGTGAAGCAGGATCCCAGGGCTGGCGAGTGGACCCAAGACAAAGGCCCACCCGAGCAAGGGGAAGGGAGGCTACCGATGGTCAATGTGTTGTCTCAGTCTCCTTGTAGGGATCATGGGTAGGGGCAGGGAGCCACAGCTCCAGGGCTCTCGACTGTGAAGTTGGTCCAGTTGCAGAGTTGGCCTCAGGGCCCCCTTGGGATCAGTTTCCTTGATTTCAAATAAGGCTACCCCACAGGGGGTCACTTGAGGGCACCCCACAGGGGGTCACTTGAGAGAGAAATGAGATTTTTGATGCCCTCATAACTTGCCTTTCCCTCTTGGGATCTTGCTCCTCTACTGGGAAGATAGAATGTGGTCAAGCTAAGGTACTTTGGATGATATTGGTTTCAGGGGTTCTTCCTTCCCAGAGGACTCAACAGGAAGCCTGTGACTACAGAAGATGATTATACAGTTCAGTGGTTTCAAATCCCTGCCATCAGACACGAGGAAAATGACATTTGAAGATGGAACACCTCATCAATACATAGAACCCCAAAACCCGGAAATCCCACCTCTAGGAATTTAACACTTGGAAATATGGATGTACATGGAGAGCTTTTTCATGTAGGATGTTGATTATGACAGCCAAAAACTAGACATAATTTACATGTGTTATTACCACAGGAGTTGGGTAGAGTTCTGTATGGTCCATCCATTCAGTGGAAAAGTAGGCGCAACGATTCCACAATTCAAAATCATCGTGTACATACGTAAGCCATTTTGACAATAAATCATACTCATAAAAAAATCATTGTATAGAAAAGCATAAAATAACAAGGGAAATCTTTGTGACATGTAAGTAAATGTAATCAGAAAACTCTAGAACAGAATGTGTACTATGCCCGCCTTTTTGTGTGGAAAACGTGAACATATAAACACGTTTGACAGAAGTTATTTTTGGTGGTGGCATTCTGGTTTTTGTCTTTTCCTTTTCACCTACCTACATTATCTATAATGAACATGTATAATTTTTCTGAGAGAAAGAAAATGTTCTTAACATGAAGGTTAGCATTTTGTCGTCCACAGGACTGGATGATACCTAAGGACAAGGAGATCATGACCTTTTTGTGATTTTAAATATTGGACCTTAACAGTGTCTGAAAATGAGCTGCGGTCACTGGAGGACGGTCAGGACTTCCTTCGTCTTTGAGATCCATGAGAATTAGTTGCTTATTTAAAAACATCTTAGATTGTGGCTTTCTTATCCCTGCAGTCCAGTTGTACCTTCCTGAGATAATAAGGATGTCCTCTTGACTGAATACATGTCAAGCATTTCCATCACGCTGCATCAGTCAGCTAATGCTGTGTAACAACCACACAGCAATAAGCATGCGTTTCTCACATGTTGGCAGATTAGCTGGGAAGCGCTCGGCTGCAGGTTTTGGATACGAGGGCATCTTCTTCTCATGGCAGTGGCAGAGGCACCCCTGCCCACATTTCGTTGGCTCAAAGAAGGGACAAGCCAAGTCCAACGTCAAGAGGTCCTGAGGTTCACTTTGCCTTCTGTCAGAGACACCACCCCGTCATGTGGCGAAGTGGCCAGGTACAGGGAGGGTGAAGAGAATAGAACGGAACCTACCATCTACCACCCACGAGTGGTCGCTTTGGTGAGGTCATGCTGCCAGATGGTTGTATGCACACATTTAAACTAACATTACGCCTCTATGGGTTTGAAAAGGAATTCTTTGAAAAGCATACTACGAACGAAAGCAAAATTAAAATGACTAATTCCGTTATCTACGGATGGTCTGTTAGGATCTTGGTGCATTGCCTTGAAGGCTACACATCCATCCACGTCCATCCACTCCAAGAAGCATCAACCTCTACGTGTGTAACAAAAGTAGCATCACATTTGATTTGGTTTTTATCCCACCTTTTTTTTTTTAAACCTAATCTCATTCCGTGAGCTTTTACTTGCATTAGGAACCATTCTTTAGAAACAGGCTTTTCAGATATGTGCAATAATTTAAAGATGTGGTGCTACTTCTGGAGATGATCCCCTGTGGTTAGATATTTAGGCTTCCGGGTTGTATTCTGTTACAAACGACACTCTAATGGACGTCATGGAATACAGTCATAATCAACATACACTGAGCCTTTTCATACACCTGCCTTCACGCCAAACACCTTCCACGAACGACCTCATACAAGCCTCAAGCTTCCCTTTCCGGTAGGTCCAGTGACGATCCCCATTTACAGATGACAAACCAGGGCACGAAGACGATAAGAACTTGCTCAGGGTCAGGCAGCAAAGCATTCAGCCAATAGAGCTGAAACAGAAATCCAAATCTGATTGGCTAAAGCATCTGGTCTTAACCACTCAGCTAACCTCCCTTTCTGTGTACCTCGCTGATGATGGCTTTGAGACTAACACGTCGAAGAAAGATCACTGGGTTTGCACACGTTAAGGCTGTCGGTGCACGTTGCCAACACATCTTCCGGAAAGATGTCAATTCAAACTACACCAGCAGTCTAGTCACTCATGGGGGTTACCTGTGTTGCTAGACCCTGTCACAAGTGATGAAGTGATGAGAAGACAGGCCCAGCCCCTGCCCTCCTGGGGTGGCTGGGGTCCCTACTCCAAGGGCAGGGTACGGAAGAGAGAACATTGTACGGTCAGAAAAATAAAGCTGAGGGGTACAGCCGTGACCGGCGTGGGCCTTGTGGGTGGGTGGGAAAGGGTCTTCGTGCCAGATCGGCTTATCTTGGAGGCCTTCTCCGAGGAGATGGCCTTGGGCTGAGCTCTGAATGGCCAGAAAGGAACATCTGGGAAAGAGGCTCCAGGCAAAAGATAGAGCAAATGCAAATTCACCAAGGTGGGTCAGACTCAGAAGTTTGAGGAACAGGAAATGGCAGGTTGGTCTACATCCGGGTAAGCGAGGGAGATAGGGCTGGGGGCAGTCAAGGGGCAGGGAGGGATCAGGGAGACCTTGCGGACCATGGGGCGGAGATCAAGTTTTATTCCAAGTGTGGTGGGAAGCCTGAGAAGGCAGCGGCTTCGCGGGTCTGAAAATTAAACCTTCTGCAGCCTCCCCTTTAAGAAAAGGGCTTAGGATTAGGAATCAAAATCGGCTATGCAATTTAATATTTATTCTGAATGAGAAAAGAAATCACAGTAAACTGCAGGTTTCAAAAAGCCAGCAATTACCGAAAACATCACAAAATGTAGG